CCTATTTATGCAGTCTGGCTTGCTGTAATGTGTCAGAGAGTTTTCCGTATTCTGCCATGACATGTCAAATTGTATTTTCTGTCATATTTATGCAGTGTAGCTTGCTGTAATGTGTCAGAGAGTTTTCCGTATTCTGCCATGACATGTCAAATTTGTTAGGACATACGAATGTTAGTTTGGAACTTTTTGACAATATATCCACTGATTGACTGAACTGAAATCGTCAACGTCGAAACTGTTCTATTATGTACCCACAAGGTTACATTGTCGGTCCTTGTAAACGCTTTTAATCTATGTTGCTGTAATACAATATATACTTACACCAAAACTAATAGGCCAGAAAATTAAAAAAAAAAACATTTCGCATTTATTAGAAAAGTTGATCAAGATTACGGTACAGGGTACTCCTATTTTGAAATGCCATTTATTAATACGTGTCTCAGTATTCTGATATAACCAAACTACGCCCGAGCTAACCATTTAAACGTGCTTATTATTAATTATATGAACCATGGCGGTAAAATACGTTTATAATAATAAGAAAAATGCTACTCTGACGGAAATGACGTTTTGTCCCGTCTGTAATTTCTTTAAAGAAAAATTGTAGAAATTGAAGGTGTAACCACGGTGAATTTTTTTACTTGGTTATTGCCAACAATCCGTAGCCGCGAGTCAGACAGAACAGGATTACCCTAAAGCGGTGAAATAACTATAATCATGTCGTAACTTCGCTTTTCAACTTGAATTCAATTTAAGAACCACGGTTGCATGGAAATAGAGGGTTGTAATATAATATATACAAAATTGAGGTACAGAATATCGGGCGTATGTTCATTATGACAAGCATGACATATTTGAAAAGCCAACAATATTTTTATTTTTTTTATTTTTAGGATCGCAATGAGGTCATTGATTCACGCTATCTCGCCTTTCAATATCTGATTTGCTCACGTTTAAGTTTATTTTCTTGGCTGAGTAACTATGCATATCTTGGGGTCATGAACTGTGTCAAACCTTGTATATGTGCTCAAGTTGACGGGAACAGTTAAAACCAACGTTTTATTGTACTGTAACAATATTTCACAATAAACGTAAAAAAATGGTCGTTGCGAAATTTTAATTTCTTTTTAATATTGTTGTTGAAGCAATGATAATACTATAATATTGAATCCTCTATATACACAGAGTAAAATACATTTACATCATGTTTACTTTTATCGCTCTACATCATAGTCGGTTTGTTCCACATGTTTAATCCTAAATGTTATGTTAACTGTTCACGGGAAACCGACTTGACTAGTCACCCTTTAGCTAATTTCCAGTCATTGATTTCCATGACGATCTCCATCCTTTAGTAATACTTTTTCAATCAATGTTTTTACGGTGTCTTTCTTTAAGTATATAAAATATTTCTTTTCTCAAACATATCCCATCCAACAGTGTTATTGATAAATCACATGACTATAAATCAGAACAAGCTTTCCTATAAAGCTGTTGTGAGTCAAAATACAAACACAGTGTCTTGATCGCAAAAAACACGCTATAAATATAATTTTGCATGGCGTAGATAGCATTTCCCACATCACTTGACATGTTATACATTCTAGTGCTTGCAGAAAACTTTACTTTTGAAAAGCGAGTGTTTACGTTGTAAACGAGTGGAGCTCCACGTTAGATATCCCTACCAACATCCGACAAGGCTATATTTAGCCTTAGTTGTCGTCGTCCATTGTTAGGTGTAACTCTAACCAATGTATACATGCATGATGTCATTTGTACATGCCCCTTCTCGTGATATTACTGCCAAAGCATAACTATTACAACACTAATCCCTGTCTGTTTGAATATACCTTGGGCCACAGTGTCAGACACTACAAGATACCTCTATTGGAACATAAACATACAGAACCCCCATGTTCACACATATAAACACAGCTTATTTCTATTCTACCAACCAGGCTTCATAATTTGACAGCACATCTATTCGGGAACATATGAATCCCGTTATATATAAAATATACATGTAGCACAGAGCGTTTCAACCAAAGTCATCAGACAGAACTTAGCCCATGCTGGTAGATTTGCATTGGTTGGACGATATGACGCAGATGACACCTACTTTGGGATTAATTTGTGAACACCTCAATCAATTTAAGGCTCCGCAGGCTATCACATAATAACACCTTCTGTGACAGGTAGATACGAGTTGTACGCTGGCTGATAAAACCCCGGACAGAACACGCAAGCTGTCATTAACCTGATAAGGTTTATTGCCTTGTAATAAAACACTCGGATATTAACAGTTGATGAGAAAACAATTTCCACAGGTCTCGAGGAAATGGTCGCTTCTGAGCTCATCAACAAGTGAACATCGGTTGACACATACGTATTCAAACCTATTAATTACAACGGCCTAATATTGTGCCAAATATACTAAATTACGATTATATAACTGACAACTCCGTGGTAACCATCAAATAACGCATTGTATTAATAATGAGCAAAACTTTTGTAGTAAAAAATTAACTCCGTCACTTCAATGCGACGAATAAGTCAACTTATCAACAAATCGCGACAGGAGAATGTGTCATTCTAACTACATGTATTTTTGTTTTTGGCCTCGGTTATGTGGCATTGGCCCAATCGTCTATAATTTGTTGCCATGAGCTTTGTTAGCGAGATACCGATATCTCAAAACTTATCACTATTAACCTCAAAAGAAAATTATTAAGCAAACATAGACGCGCAAGCCATTTTCAGAAATAACCATGGCAACGGTTCGAGTTGAGATAATTGTTGTTGTTGTAATAATTATTATATTTAGTTTAAAACGTTTATGCGCGTGGTATTACATGAGCCGCAATGTTATGAAATGGGTAAAGTTCTCTGGGGACAGGCGCGTGACTAGACGACGATTGACGCGGGAACACTGCCATGAATGACATCAAGGAATCGCCTTGATCGTTTACGAAGGAAAATTGTGTCCAAATTCAAAATGACCAAAAACGACTGCCACAGCCCGGATCGTGGTAATTGAGCTATTTTGTGTTGATGCTCAGCCGTGAATTTGCAATCCGTGGCGGTGAATTAAATCTTGTAAAGATAATAAACACATCTTTAATTTAATTCATATCGTTACTCGCGACGTTAGTGGCAGTAAGACGGCCATCAAGCAATATGTACCGAGCGTAATTTGAATAGGACAACAAAGAACGCGAAGTACGAAGAGCTGGTAAAGCTTCAATGGAAATGGAGGGAATTTCATGTGAATAGTGAACAAGTCTAATTGCTACACAAGAATAGGCACTGGAACACGAATTCACCGAGGACAATGAGAAACAGATGAGAAATGATTATCTCAATAATACCAGATATTATCTATATTTTCCCCTGGCTATTAAATCCAAGCTACTTTCCCTTTCCGAAACAGCACTGTATATTGCAACCACGGGTTTCGTCAGTAATTTACAGACACGTTGAGTAATTTCACAGAGACAATAAAGAACGACATTAATTCCATTTGTCTGTATGAGTGGGTACGCTTTTACCCTCCGTGAAGAGCTACTCGCTATTTCATCTGCTCGAGAATAACACCTGATCGAAATTTCGATGTGATTATCGTAGTTATGTTTAACGATGTTTTTCATGGTATTTTCCAAAAAAGGAATCTTAAAGAATTTTACAACGAAAGGCACATAAATTCACCAATGCGGAATTATATGGTGTTTCACTTAAAATCTAGTTTCTGATTAATCTTGCTCGCAGCTTACACGTTTGAATGGGGTGTTATCGGAAATACGGCTGGCTGCGGGCATAAATTGTGTAAAACTCCATCAACTAGTGTCAATTTAAGCCTTGCAACGAAAGAAAATGATGACGGGAAATTAGGTCGCAGAACACGCAATTGTGTGGATATATGCTAAGAGTATACCGCCGTTAAAAGGATAGGGGAAGTAAAAAGGACGCGTTCTGCTTCAGTGGGTCTGATTTCGACTTTTGACGAAGCTCGGCCCATCTCATTAGCGGGACATGTACAGTTTTTTAATATTCATTTCCCCGTCTGCTCGGCCACACCGATTTAACGTTACAAAAGTGAGCATTGAAGTGAAAACCCCAGTG